CAATCCTTGTTTTATTGATTGCATGTAATATTCTAATTTTCTGAGATTGTGGATTTGGGGTTTTTGTGAGCTGTAAGCCATAATCATCACAGTTATGACACATCACGGCTTGAACTATCTTGCTTTGCATGTAATGAGTCTATCTCATATATTAGGTTCACCTTTTAAGTTGCATTACTGAAATAAATGAACTTTTGCACGATATTCTAATTTTTCGAGTTTCACCTGTACTGTGCAGTTGCATTCACTTCCATTATGATGAAGTGTTTTGAGAGATTGGTAAAGGACTATATTGTTTCATGCCTTCTCCCTACATTTGACTCATTATAGTTTGCTTATCAGAAGAACCGCTCTGTAGAAGATGCACTTTCTTGTGTGCTTCATCTTAGTTTGGCACACCTAGAGAAGAATGCTCACATGTGAATGCTATTTGTTGATTTTAGTTCTCCCTTCAACACAATCATTCCTCAGCATTTGGTGAACAAATTGGGCCTATTAGGTTTTAATACTTCCTTAAGTAACTGGATACTTGACTTCCTTATTGATAGGCCCAGTTTGTGCAAATTGGAAGAAAAGTTTCCAATTCCATCTTTTTGAGTACAGGTTCTCCACAGGGCTGTGTTTTGAGTCCATTACTGTTTGTCTTGATGACTCATGACTGCTGTGCTAAGTCTGCTACAAATCCTATTGTGAAGGATGAACAGCAGTGGTGGGTCTTATCCAGGATGATAACAAAGATTCTTATAGGGAGGTTTTGGTGGATTGGTGCAATAAAAATAACCTAGTCGGCATGGTCATACTCCACTTTGTATCATACTCCACTTTGCAGCTGTGGCGATAGTCAATAGTATTAAGTACCTGGGAGGGGAGATAACCAACATCTGTCTCTTCATACATTATCTTTAGTGAAGGGTGCAAACCAGTGTTTGCATTTCCTGCATCAGATGAGGAGAGCACATCTTTCTCCTTTCGTCCTGGCCACTTTTTACAGAGGCACAATTGAGAGTGTTTTAACAAACTGCATCACTCTTTGGTTTGGTGGTAACAGTGCCTCAGATAGAAGGTCCATACAGGTAGTAAGGACAGCTGAAATTTTTTTAGGAAGCTTGCTTCCTGTTATTCAGGATACTGCTTATAAGCTCTATGTGCTTAGAGTTTGAAGCATTGTTAGAGACCCCACACACCCACTTCATGGTCTTTTTCTGTTGCTCCCCTCTGGGAGGAGGTTTTGAAGTATTTATAGATTCTGTAACAGCTTTGTTCCTTATGCCATCCATTTTGTAAATTTGCAGGATTCTTTTTTTGCCATATTCAAATTAGACTATGATATTGTGTCATATATGTGTGTGGGGGTATATAAATAATGGTATGTTTTTGAAAGCTGAATGCAACAAAATTTCATTTTAATGTATGCGGATTAGTGTACATTTAAAATGACAAAGTTTCTATTCTATTCTGTTCTGTTCTGTTTATTCTCAAGAGAACCAGCAATCAGGTGTGATTGAAAGCAGGAGCAAAAAGAAACTAGTCATCAGCCAATGTCTCGAGGATGGTGTGATCTCCAAGATGGACCCATCCTCTCTTGGATGATATCTACCTGCAGCTCCTCGACACAGCTTAGCACATCAATGCAAAGGGCAAATACTGTACTGTTAAATTCCTGGATGGATGCTCCTGGTCCCAGCACCCTGTGCAATTAAGATGGATTAGTTGAGCATAAGCATTCTTTGTGGAGTTCAAATAATACACTGAGCTTAAATGTGACTGGTTTGTTTCTCAGCGAGCTATGCCAATTTATTTGTATTTATTCATTTTAATTCATTAATTGTCTGCCATCAGTTCTGGATTGATGGCAAACTCCACATCTCCCCCTTGCTCTCTGCTCTCTAGCCCTCCATTTTTGTTATCATATTAATGTATTCTTGTTTTATTTTTCATTGTTTATTGTTCTGTTATTTTACTTGTTTTGTTTACTCTTTTTTATTTCTTTTTATTATTGTAAGCCACCTACAGTAGCCCCATGGCAAGATAGGCAGCAAATAAATTTAACAAATAAATTAATAAATAATTCAAGCAACAGGCTTATTCTCGTAAGTCATGAATTTGCATTTTATGTAATTGTAAGCGGTATACATGTCAAAGACCAAAAAAGCAAGGAACTCCAAAACTTAGGGTAGGTGTTTCACCAGCCATTAAATCAGCATTTTAAAAATACAAATTGTTGGTAGAATGCTTCAGTCTGTAGTAGATGTCCTTGATATTGGTAGCTATTGGCTAGATTTGCATCCCTATTTCCAGTTCAAAATAGCAACTTTAAATGTATAAGCTGCCCAGAGTTGCTTTCCATAGTTAAGATGGACTTAATCCTGTATTATCTTCATCTTAACCACTACAGGTGGTTCTTATTTATCAACCACAGTTGGGACTAGCAACTGTTACTGCGACCTATCATAAATCACCTTTTTCTGCATGGGTGTAACTTTGAACTGTTGCTGAAAAGGCAGTTGGTAAGCAAGGACTACCTGTTAAACATGGCATTTTCAAAAACAAAAACAAAAGCACTTTCTTAAACAAAGTCTGTGAGCACATAGAACCAAAAGGTGGGGTATTTAGTTTCAGCTTTGCATGCTTATAAATGCAGGAGCTGTGAAAATGCAAGAGTTGTGTTTTAACATTATCGGTCATAGTTATGCACTTACTTTTGCTATTATAGACCTGATCCAGCTGTAACAATACAAACAGGAAATTCCACTATGTATATCCCTTTGCCCCCCCCCTCCAAAATCAAATCACTGAATGCCCTCTAACACCTGCACATCAGCCCTCTTTGTAGTGATATTGGAACTCTGGAATCCTTTTAACCACACCCCTAAATTCTGGAAGCACCGATTATCATTTGGTGTAGACACCAACTGAAAACTCACCTATACACCAGGCTTTCCTGATATGAATATTGGTCAAATGTTTTCTCCACCCCATTTTAATAAATGTTTTATTGAATACAGGTAGTCATTTACTTATGACCACAATTGGGACCAGCAAGCAAGGCAATTAACTGAGTTGCACCTTATGATCGCTTTCGCCACAACTGTTAATTTGAATCATCACAGCTGTTAAGTGAATCCATTTCCCCTGATTGACTTTGCTTGTTGGTGACTGTCTGAGAGGCCACAAATGGTGACCACAGGATGCTGTAATTATCATAAATACACGCCAGTTGCCAAGCACCTGAATTTTAATTACATGACGGGTGTGGGGAGAGGGAAGGCTGCAATAGTTATAAATATGAGGACCAGATGTAAGTCATTTTTTTTTAATCCTGTTGTAACTTCAAACACTTGTAAGCAAATGGTTGCAGGTCAAGGACTACCTGTATTGTTTTATATATTTTCAATATATTGCTTATCATACATTTTACTGCTTTCCCAAATAAGCCTTATGTATATAAATAACATTTCAGTGTAAGAAATGATATCTAAAATATTTAATACAATACTAACACTAAATATGCTATATGAGTACCTAACTAGTTGTGATTCATTCAATAAAACATAGCATGATGTATAAACATAGTATGTAAATTCAAACATGGGAATGGAGTTTGGAGAATACTTTTAAAAAGCCGTAGGAAGACTAAACTTTGCCAGGGGAAAATGAACCTGGATACTTTGTTGCAGTCTCAATCATCTCTCTTGAGATTTAAAAAAAATTAGATTGCAGCAGAATCCTGTTAACATTTTCTAAGCGAAGATAAGATGGATTGAGGAGGCGGGGAAAAATAAAAAGAAAAACAGCATTAGTTAATGCTGTCTGTCCAAATACCCTGTATTTATTTTTTCCTACCAAAAAATTGGATCTCCGGTTGCGAGGGGGGTATAGAAGAGTGGCATAAGCACAGGAAGAGCCAAAGAATGCTCCAGCAGTAGATAGAGCAGACCCCAGATAATGCTACAGATTTTAATTCCCAGAAAGGATTTGCTTGCACAGACTGAAAAATATTACTGGGAGAGGTAAATATAGATTACAAATCATTACATCACCCTGTTAGCTCCATGCAAGCTCCCTGCTAGTACTTGATCCCTGTCCACAGCAGTGGATCTGCCTTAGTGTGATGGGTCTGGTTGGAGTCTATGAAGCCTTAAATTTAGTACAGCACTTTATTCTCCTCCTCAAGGAATCCAAAGGTTATTTGAGTACTTTCTTAGAATATAAGCAGACAACTAAGAGAAGTGAACAAAAGATAAAGATAGAGAAGAGAGTAGTTGATAACCAGGTAGGATAAAAGCTGAGAGAAAGTATATGCAGAAATAATAAGAGAATCTTTGGTAGCCTGATGATAAACATTCTGTAATTAAATATTAAGAAGGACTTATGTTGATGGACCCCTAAAACAATTTCTATCCTATATAGTGTTGTCTGTCTACACAATATTATTATTACATAAAATGTTATTTGTACTCAATCTATTGGTCTTCAAATAAACATGAACATGATACAACTTCATACCACCATGCATCTTGAATACTAGGCTGCCAAGCAAATAATTGATAAGAAAGAATATGTCAAGATAAGTGCATCATTCTCAGTAATAGCTGAAAGACCGTACAACATTTTTTTGAGCCACTAGTCAAATGAATTGCATTTTCCTAGTTATGATAATTTTTGGTGTCCAGGATCAGAAGTAGCTTGGCTTTGAAAGAAAATTGATAGAGAGGTAATTGTTCTTTTGTCTTGACTGTCAGCCTCCCAAAACTTCAGCCTAATTCACAATACTGGACTAAATAAATTTGCTGTTTGGTCTAATCCAGCAGGACTTTTGTCATGTTCCTTTTGCAAAAATGGTGTGAAAGATGTTGGGATTTTTCAGTTGTAATATATATTGTAGCAAAATGATCATCTTGTCTTTAATGTTATAAAGGCACCATGTCTGGACCTTCCTAATAGAGATTCCAAAAGTCTCTGCCACATCAAGAGTGGGGAGGGGGATTACCAGGAGCAGAATATTTTGACCTAGAATCAAGGTCCTAGACCTAGAGGTTGAGTACAAAGTCACATGAACTATGAACCCTAATCATCAAAGGAGACCATCCTATTTACTAATAGTTCTAATCTCATCAAGGAAGAACTTTAAATATCTATGGAAAAGTAGGGAGGTAACTGGTGATGATTAAATAGTCTTCTTCCCTAGTCTGCTCCTATTTTCCTATAACCTGTTCACTGTCTTGTCTGATGATGTATTCTTGAAAATTTCATCACTTCCAATTATTTTGTGAATCTTCAGTTAACCAAAAACATTTTCTTAATGTAAGTTTGCATTTTCCCATCATGATTCTTCACACAGCTGGGTTTGCTTTTCATGTGACTGTAAGAAAAATAATTTCTGGTTCTTGGGGTTTCATACATTACACTCAAGGAAGTTGGCTGCATTTTGTACACCTGCTATCCAATCCAGGAGAGCATCCGCATACAATAGAAAAATGTTTTATCAGTAGTTCAGAAAAAAGCAGCAACTTGATATTTTCCGTATGTGCGCACTGAAATGTATTTAGCTTAGCAAGTAGTGATAAAATCTGGTGTTCAAAAAGTTTTTGCCCGATAGCAGATAAATTCACACACACGAGAGAAAAAAAAAGAGGCGGGGTTTTTGAACAGATTAGCCCACAAATTTATTACTGTTGAGGTTTATTTCCTCCAGCCTTTGAAAGGAGAATGTTATAAGCAAACATCGGCTGCTCGTGAACAACTAAACAGGGCCGGAGCTGGTTGACGCTTGGGAACCGGGAACTTTCGACTGGGAAACAGAACCTCTACTCAGAAAGCGAACCGCTTATTGTAAGCATTTTTCCAAGAAAAACCTTTCTACGCCCGGTCGACCGCATTCTTTGCAGAAACGCGCGCAACTTCCTGTTAAAAGACCCCCCCTCTCTCCCTTCCACAGAAGTTACTCGCTTCTGCCAGGCGTCCTACATTCATTCCTCCTTGCAAACCAGCTGCCAGGGCACTTTCACTTTCATTTCCCAGGATGCAAACCCGTGGCGCTGCAGACAAGCAGAAGAGAAAGCGAGGAAAAGAGCGTAAGTTTCTCCAAGTGTGAAAGTGCAAGCGAAACCTGGGAGGAGGATTTAAATGCTGTGTAGAAGGAGACTCAAGGGGGGGTTTAGAGCCGGCCGATCGCTCCCCCTTCCCCCTTGTTTCGGAACGGCTAGGCGCAGGGGTAGGCAACCTCGGCTCTTTTATGACTCGTGGACTTCAACTCCCAGAATTCCTGAGCCAGCACAGCTGGCTCAGGAATTCTGGGAGTTGAAGTCCACGAGTCATAAAAGAGCCGAGGTTGCCTACCCCTGGGCTAGGGCGCCGGGGAAGAAAAGGGGTCTTTACGAGATGCGCGGAGGGAGACTCTGTGCCTGACGGAAACATCACTGACGCAAGAAAGGGCGCGCCCATTTTTGATGGATCGGAAGGTGCAAGGGAAACAAAGGAGCCCGGTCCTAAACTTCAACCACTCAGAAGTGTTTCAAGCCATTGTTGACGGGTGCATCCCATTAGCCTTTATGCGCTGCGCTGCGTAAAGACATGTGGTGCGTTTCTCTCCGATGAACGAAGGCGAGAGAGGCCTGTTCTAAACTTTACGGTTCGGAATGGCCAGGTCCAGGGCCCCGCTCGTTTCTCTCCCCCCTCCCCGGAAGCAGGTCTCGAACCTCCCCCTCGGTCCGGGCCCGATGGGGTCCGTCGTGGGCCCGGACTGGGAAAGGAGGATGAGCAATTAGCAAGAGTTTAGAAAGCGAGATTAGTAACCTAGGGTTCCACTCAGCAGCTTTTAAAAGTGTATGGGGGGTATTTTAAAGGGGGGGGGGCTTTATTGTATATATTTGGACTCGAGGATCTTGCACAGAATGAAACTTTTCCACTCACTTCCATATTGGCGACGAAGGAGAGTGAAACTGGGCTGGTAAATGGCGCCTGTAAAGAGGATTGCAATCCAATTGCTGGAATTGGGTATGTCTAGTTTAACGAAGAGAAGGACGAGGGGGGACATGATAGCAGTGTTCCAATATCTCAGGGGCTGCCACAAAGAAGAGGGAGTCAAGCTATTCTCCAAAGCGCCTGGAGGCAGGACAAGAAGCAACGGATGGAAACTAATCAAGGAGAGAAGCAACCTAGAACTAAGGAGAAACTTCCTGACAGTTAGAACAATTAACCAATGGAACAACCTGCCTCCAGAAGCGGTGAATGCTCCAACACTGGAAGTTTTTAAGAAGAGACTGGACAGCCGTTTGTCTGAAATGGTGTAGGGTTCCTGCCTGGGCAGGGGGTTGGACTCGATGACCTCCAAGGTCC